AACAAGAATTAGACCTTTCCTTATATAATTATGTGTTAAAAATGGAACACTAAGTTGGGTTCCCCTTGTGGGTTTCATCTGTATTGATAGCATCGTGTCTAATTTCGTACTGTTTAATGTCTTAAGCATTGCTGGTTTTCAATTGAATTTCTTGTTTTTGAGGAGTTCAAATCAGAATGTCTTAAAACTTGATCACTTGATAATTCTCTGTGCATTGTTTCTTCTATATGTTAAGTAGTATTGCCTAATCCTGGCCTCTTTTGAAATGCTTTTGGAAATATTAACATACACACTCAGTTCTTTGCATCTGTTTGTCTGCAGTCTGGGAACAAAATGGTGGTCAGTAAATGCTGATATAGACCATATTGTCTGTGTTTTCAGTAAGTGATATTTCAGATTATGACACTGTTCTTCTCCTCATATTTATTAGTATTATTAGAAGCATTATTACTTCTAGCAAACCTGACTTTGAATACTACGTTAGTTATTGGGTGGCAGTGAAACATTGCTAAATGCAGTAAATTCGGTACTGGAATTTTAGAGTTATTATAATCAATTCATTCTCTAATTTTATTTAATTTAGTGACACTTCATTAATATGTTCTTGTGCTTTTAAGAAGTTCTAATTAAGAGAGTGTCATTATAATAATGGGGTCATAATTATGTGCAATTAATTATATTAAAGCAAAATGTTTAGCTTTATAGGAACATTTTTAAGAAGCTCAAAACAGAACGATGATATATAAACTTGAAGAGAACATTTTCTTTTACTATATACTATTTATAAGTCTAGCTATTTTCTAGGCCCTAGACACTAGTTTTTCTAGTTTAAATTGAACATGTGACTCTTTTACTTGATATGTGGGGACATGGGAGAAGGGACATTCTTCAGAATTTTATAAATGAAATTAAACATCATCCAAACAACTTTGGAGCTAAAAGAATTCCATCTACCATAGTAAGGGACCAGGCCCCAGCTTTGCCCCAGCAGTCCATCTCTCTGTGGTGGCAAAGCTTGGCCCAGACCGAGGTCCTGGAGAGCAGCCTCTCACTGCCCTCGCCAAAGTGGACAGTCCACTCAGCTATGGCCTCTTCAGCCATCTGACCCTCCCGGCTGTTATTTTAATACTTTGAATTATTTTAGGGACTAAGTTTATGTTCAATAATATGCAGTCAACGATCCAATGAACAACAGTGTATTTTGAATTTTCTTTGTGCTGTCACTCAGGAAAAGCGTAGAACTTGGTCTGCCACTGAAAAGATATTACCTCAGGCAGATGACTTTCTGTCAAGCACCAGATAGCCCCAATTTATGTATTTAAGGTCACAGTTATTAACTAAACAAATGGAAGAAACCGAGTGAAGATATAGCTCAAACAGAACATGAGTATTTATAACACAATAGAAATTGTGCCTTCCTTACGGTTCTAAAGTAAAGCTTTACAGGATAGAGCTGCTGTTATGCATTCTATTTATTTCTTGCTTTTCTTTCTCTCTGTCCTCATAAAACTAACATTCTGGGCCCTTATAAAAATTGCACTAGTTTTAATAAAATAGACTCTCTTGATTCTTTCTCTGTTGTCTCAGTTAATTTGGTTAATATCAGTCTGATACTGTTAGAATCACTGTCCAACTACGATGTATTATGATCTACTCTACACATAAAAACTTACATGGTAATGAGCAAAACTGAGCTAAACATAATTGTGCCTATGTCAGCAACTGTGACAGAAAGCCACTTCTATAACGGTAATGATGACCATATCAATTATAATTTTATTGTTTGATTTGCTTTGTCTTCTCCTTGCTGCCATATCAATACACAGAATGTGTCTATCATTTCATAGGAGATACAAAAGACCCAAAAATCTGAACTCCCTCTCCTACTCCTAGAAAAATCATAAGTAATTAGAAAGTAAAAAAGATGACAGCAGCCAAATTCCATCCCCTAGGGCTGCACCTTTGCCCCCCTAACATTACCTTTAATAGGTTTATGTACTTGCTGGAGGCATCTTTTGAACACATCTTAAAGGCCTCAACTCTCATACTAAAAATATCCAACCATCTCTGCCTTTGGCCAGTGCCTGCTGGGTTATAGAGGTCATTTCTGGGCTGGTCCTCTCTAAGACAGATGAGCTTTCCAACTTTTCCTAAGTGCAAAGGGGAAACAGCAAGGGAGGAGCTCTCTCTTGTTCAGAGTTGCATCACCAAATATTCCCTTCAGCGTTTACAGACATTTCACACTGTAGGTTCCTGGATACATGGGCAAGACGGAAAACACAGAAGTTACAAAACGTACTCATCCTCTGAGGGAATTCACTTGCTTTTCTAGCCCTTCTCTCCCTTTTGATCTCAACTCAGCAACTACTTATTGAGCATTTGCTCTGTGCAAGGCATTGAGGGATTTAAAAGGGACTGAAATAGCTCCCGGTTCTTCAAGGAGTGAGTTGAATAATAACTTGGGTATTGAAATATTCACAAGAAAAACTCTGGAAATCACATTTGGGAAAGTGTATCTACAGTGCCATATAGTTTATGGCAACTTCAAAAACTACACAGATTTTCTGAAGCAAAAACTTCTCCAAGAGATTATAGAAATAGAGGTTTTAAATGAAAACAAACTGCACAATCTACATTATCATAACGCCTGTGCTTATAGAGTCTGAAAATGCATCTGTCCCAGAATGGGAATCCCCTTTATGAGAATTTAAGCAAACACCCAATTACCTACGGATGCAATTTTGGCAGTTGCAAACAACTGTAGGTTTGCAACCCAACTGGGTATTGGTGGCAAGTCAAACCTCCTTAAGTCTAGAATTGCCTGTATGGGACTCACAGCTTCTCCCTACTCTTCATTTGTTCAAAAATAATGTTCCTCTGATGTCTTATCCATGTCTGTTCTTAAGAGAAACAAAGCCTTTTCTGAAGTTTTGCTCGTTTTAGAGATACGCGAATTTCCACATCTAACTGCATCAACACAATAAAAATTTTTCTCTACTCAAAAATTCTCTTGTCTTTTCCTCAACATTGATAGCTTTGAGATTTGTAAATGCCAGTTGTGATCTTTATACTAGGGCAGGAGAGGATTTATTTAGAATTAAAAAGTTACGAGAAGGAGAAAACCTTAAATTGAATGTTTATTTCTATGTAGATTTCTAATGATGTCAGTTGAAGACAGTTGGAAGAAGCAGGATCTGTGGGTTGGGACAGAAAGAGGAGGCAGGCCTAGAAGTGGCCGAATGGGTTTTGCAGGAACGCTTTCAGCCTAAGAAGGAGCACCTGGGTTTGGTATCAGGGGCTGGGCTTCGGAAGAGCTGAGACTGGTGTTGGAAGCCCCTTACAAGCGTTGGGCATTGGAAACGTTTTTGAGACCCACACATTCAGCTCTGTCAAAGTGTATCCAAAACATTTCTCATTTCAGCTTCTAATTTAGCAAACCCAAAAAGCAGGAATGAACAATTCTGAGTCACAAAAGCAGGAAGGCTTTGAACACTGGATGGGGAACTAATCAAAGAAAATTAAAATGCTCCTTCAACTGCATGCTATCTTCAACGGAGCAACAAATATCTCCAAGCCTCTTGGTGAAACTTTGAGAAAGGAACAATGAAAAAATTCTCAGGAAAAAGAGATAACACAAATTCCCTGGGTCTTTTGCAAGGCACAAAATGTCTTTGGTAGTCTTTGCATTTTTTGTGTTGTTTAGTGAACATAAATAATGAAAGCTTTCAGAGGCTTACTTCTCACTGCGGTCATTCATAAGATCTTAGATTGCCTTCATCTGCAAATTTTACCACCATGAAATTTTTAGGAACCTGCTCTTTAAAACTGTGGGTGTCACTTTAATTTTAGGAAAAGACTTCTGGAAAAAAAAATGAACTTGTCTCTCTAGTAAACATCGTTCATCATGGGAGCCTTTTCATCAAGAAGACGTAGTTGACTTATGACTAAACAACTTCTGACGCACTTCATGAGTGGATATTTTTCCCTTTCAGTAAATGCAGCCGTTTGCTTTCTTCTCATGCTCTCCAACTATTATCCTTTGCTTTTATATGGCCATTCTTCCTTTGTCTTTTCATCTCTTTGGTCTATACTTTAGGTTTCTCAGCACTGTTTAGCCCCACAGCCTAAGGAGGTTTTACACCCTTACTGCAAACCATCCCATATAATAAACATGTTAGATACTGAGAATTACTTGAGTAAAGAAACAAGGGGTACTTCTCTGCTGAACTGTATGTAGTTCCTTTTCCTCTGTCTTTTTCTTACAAACATACAAACTTCCAGCATTTAATGAGAGTAATCTTCCCCCCCCCCTTTATTTTTATTGAACCTTCAGACATAATTGTGCAGCTTCTAATAATATTGTTTAGGGAAATGTGGACTCCCATGGCCAGATGGTAACCTTGTGGCACGATCATAATAAAAATGTTCACAGCAGTTTAGGGGAGCCTGGGGGAGCCTGTGGCTGATTCTGTGGAGAGTATTGACACCAGGCAGTGGTGTGGGGTCTTAAGTGGTGGAAAGCCCCCTTAGCTACAGCTCTTCCTCTTTTGGGGGACCTCATCTCTCTCTTTCCATGGTCTGTCTGTGTCTGATACTAATTTCCCTTGAGCTTTGAGAAACTAAGCTTTACTTATTCACTGTGGTACTGAGAAGATTTGATAACCAATATTTAGAAAAATAACTTACAGGAGAGAAATTTCAGTTGAATTGATACATATCTATTTCTTAGTGCTACATTTTCTTTCACCCGATTGCACAGGCCTTTGTTACTAAGCATCTTTGCCACGTCTATTCTTTCTTGTCCAGTGATCGCTTGAGACCTTATTTTTGTTGTTGTTATGGACTGACTGGATTCTATAGCCTAGGTATAAGTGAAACTACTAAAGCTACTTCAGCACCCAGATAATGCTATTTTAAGCTTTTTAATGTGTTCTAATGAGCTTTGGATCCTGCAGAAGGAAGGAAAGAAGTGGCTGTAAAAAATTGAATTTCTCTTTCAGGAAACCTTTGAAAAAGCCAGTCTGAGTAGCAGCAGCAGTGGTGCAGCCAGCCTGAAAAGTGAACTGTCTGAAAGCACAGACCTGCCCCCTGAAGGTTTCCAGGCCCCCTCTGGTAAAGAAGAAGACAGAGCCTGTGAGGAAATCCTGTCGGATGATAACTTCAACTTGGATAATATCGAGAAAGGTATCTCTGGTGAAAGGGTGGCAGCATGAATGCACTCTTGACTCCTTCTTGTTTCAAGGTTCATTGGATTTTCATTCTCTTTATTAATGTGCAGATATATATTCCGAGGTAGACGATGAATTGGACATTTCGGATAACTCCAGCAGCTCCAGTTCAAGCCCTCTGAAGGAGTCTACATTCAGTAAGCTTTCTTTCCCAGTTTGTGGATTCTAGCAGGTAGTAGTTTGAGACTCATGCTTGGGAGTCAAGCAAGTGTCATTACATACATAACCCAGTGGTTTGTTTCCAGGTGCAATGCTAATTAGAACAGGTGTGTCTGTCGCTCTGACGGAACCCAAAAGCCCACCAGCAAGCCCTGTGGTTTTCTGTTGCCTCAGCTCTGCAATAAGCAGTTACATTATTTCTGCCAGCAAATGCAGATTCTAACTGGAGAGTGAAGATCTCTACGACACTATATAACCACAAGAATCATGGAAGTGACCTTTTATGAATTTTTTGATTAAGGGTGGAAACCTGGAGAAGAAATCAGTGTTGGTGTAGAATAAGTTTTGTAAGTTTTATTTACATTAATATAAAGGAATGTATTATTCCTAAAACACTAAAGTAAAATAAATATTTTAATTGTTTAGAACTATGAAAAAATATACTGTGTAAATTGAGTCCATATATTAATCTTGACTCTTATTTTGAAACAGTAAAGAAAATAGTCATACTGAGGTATGAAAAAGAAAAGATATGTTTAGCCAAAATATAAAGATTATAAGGAAAGACAGGATTCAATTTATTCAACAAATCTGAAACTGAAAGAAAAGAAAGGTCATAATAGAAAATAACTCATTTAAAAGAGTAAGTTGATAGAATATTAAATAGGATAGATAGAAAAACTCTGACATAAATTAAGTGTAAAGAATTCCTTCTCACCAATGGCTATACTATGAAAATGACTTCTCGCCAATAACTATTTCAAAAACGAAGGCTTAAAATAGTCTCCCTAAAGATAAACATAGAACCTTAAGGATTTAGCATCTTTTTTGTGTGTGTCACTTTTTCAAACTTAATCGGTCCTTCAAAATGGTAACCGAGTGTTCCAGATTTTTTGGGACAATCCCAATTTTCAACACTGCTATGTTTTCCCTGTAAATTCCTGCTGCTGGATAAAATGTTTTGATTTGTGATTGGGAAAACATAAATATTATACAGTAAAAAAATTCATGTGTATAAACATGTAGCAGTTAATTACTGACTATTTTGAAATGAATTCAGGGTTATCTCCAGTAACAGTGGTGGGGAGGGCCAGTGGGGAAGTGGGGAAGGAAAAGTGGGACCCTTAAATTTGTACATGGTAACTTGTAACTGTCTTGGCAAGGGCTTTAGGATGATTACGACATAGATATTTTATTGTTCTTTGTTAGCTGTTAATAATGGGGTTTCTTTGCTTAGCACCTTTTCTTTGTAAAAAGACCCTTAGACAAACCTGTCAAGTAAATACTAATTTGCAACATGATATTTTAGCTGATGCTTTCATAAATGAAGACAGTCTTTATAGTACATACAATTGCTTAGATAGTAGATTGCAACATTTTTTTAAATAAACAAATGAATGAATGAATAAATAAAAGATTTGCAGTTGAAAAATGTAAAGTTATTTTTCTTGTTTTAGGAATTTTAAAGAGAAGTTTTAGTGCTTCAGGAGGAGAAAGACAACCCCAAATAAGGTATGTACACAGTGAGCTTCTGGAAATATTTTTAGGCTGCAGAGTTGAGACTAAATTGAAACCTGATAGCCGAAAGTTACCATAGGCATGTGGTAAGAGAGGCTACTAGAACCTACCTTCCCAGAACTGATTGTAATTTACCAAATAACATACTGGGAAGAGTACCAAGCTTGGGCCTGGGTTTTGGTCTACCTTTGTGATCTTCAGCCAGTGAGTCTTTCTGAGCTCAAGGGTGGAGGTGAGCCAGGTGTATTTCATGGGATCCTATGGAGTCCTGGCTCCTCATATCTTGTTTCTTCCCGTCCCCAGGGTATACGTTTTATCCTCATGGCAAGTGTGACAAATGTGGACCATATCACATCCACATCCCAGCCAGCAGGAAGTAGAAAGGGGAAGTGGAGACATGCCCCCCCCCCTTTTATTAGGGCGTGACTCAGATATTGTGCTCATCCCTTCTTTTCATATACCGTGGGCCAGAACTTAGTCATATGACCACATCTAGTTGCAAGGGAAGATGAATATGTTTGGGAATTCTGTTTTAAATGGAAGAGGAAATTGTTATTTTGGGACAACTAGCAGTTTCTGCAACAGTTGTTTCCTGGGCTAAGGACTAAAGCGAAACTATTCAGTTTGACCTGCAAGTGCCAGGTGACCTTCGTGAGAACAGTTTCAGTGTCACTGGGTGAGGCTGATATGAGCNATGTTTAGCCAAAATATAAAGATTATAAGGAAAGACAGGATTCAATTTATTCAACAAATCTGAAACTGAAAGAAAAGAAAGGTCATAATAGAAAATAACTCATTTAAAAGAGTAAGTTGATAGAATATTAAATAGGATAGATAGAAAAACTCTGACATAAATTAAGTGTAAAGAATTCCTTCTCACCAATGGCTATACTATGAAAATGACTTCTCGCCAATAACTATTTCAAAAACGAAGGCTTAAAATAGTCTCCCTAAAGATAAACATAGAACCTTAAGGATTTAGCATCTTTTTTGTGTGTGTCACTTTTTCAAACTTAATCGGTCCTTCAAAATGGTAACCGAGTGTTCCAGATTTTTTGGGACAATCCCAATTTTCAACACTGCTATGTTTTCCCTGTAAATTCCTGCTGCTGGATAAAATGTTTTGATTTGTGATTGGGAAAACATAAATATTATACAGTAAAAAAATTCATGTGTATAAACATGTAGCAGTTAATTACTGACTATTTTGAAATGAATTCAGGGTTATCTCCAGTAACAGTGGTGGGGAGGGCCAGTGGGGAAGTGGGGAAGGAAAAGTGGGACCCTTAAATTTGTACATGGTAACTTGTAACTGTCTTGGCAAGGGCTTTAGGATGATTACGACATAGATATTTTATTGTTCTTTGTTAGCTGTTAATAATGGGGTTTCTTTGCTTAGCACCTTTTCTTTGTAAAAAGACCCTTAGACAAACCTGTCAAGTAAATACTAATTTGCAACATGATATTTTAGCTGATGCTTTCATAAATGAAGACAGTCTTTATAGTACATACAATTGCTTAGATAGTAGATTGCAACATTTTTTTAAATAAACAAATGAATGAATGAATAAATAAAAGATTTGCAGTTGAAAAATGTAAAGTTATTTTTCTTGTTTTAGGAATTTTAAAGAGAAGTTTTAGTGCTTCAGGAGGAGAAAGACAACCCCAAATAAGGTATGTACACAGTGAGCTTCTGGAAATATTTTTAGGCTGCAGAGTTGAGACTAAATTGAAACCTGATAGCCGAAAGTTACCATAGGCATGTGGTAAGAGAGGCTACTAGAACCTACCTTCCCAGAACTGATTGTAATTTACCAAATAACATACTGGGAAGAGTACCAAGCTTGGGCCTGGGTTTTGGTCTACCTTTGTGATCTTCAGCCAGTGAGTCTTTCTGAGCTCAAGGGTGGAGGTGAGCCAGGTGTATTTCATGGGATCCTATGGAGTCCTGGCTCCTCATATCTTGTTTCTTCCCGTCCCCAGGGTATACGTTTTATCCTCATGGCAAGTGTGACAAATGTGGACCATATCACATCCACATCCCAGCCAGCAGGAAGTAGAAAGGGGAAGTGGAGACATGCCCCCCCCCCTTTTATTAGGGCGTGACTCAGATATTGTGCTCATCCCTTCTTTTCATATACCGTGGGCCAGAACTTAGTCATATGACCACATCTAGTTGCAAGGGAAGATGAATATGTTTGGGAATTCTGTTTTAAATGGAAGAGGAAATTGTTATTTTGGGACAACTAGCAGTTTCTGCAACAGTTGTTTCCTGGGCTAAGGACTAAAGCGAAACTATTCAGTTTGACCTGCAAGTGCCAGGTGACCTTCGTGAGAACAGTTTCAGTGTCACTGGGTGAGGCTGATATGAGCGGAAGCCTAACTGTGGTGGTTTTAGCAGTTCCAGAGGCTGGGCTGGGGAGCAATTGAAGAAAGTGAGGTGTGAGCTGGGACAGTTAGCTGGTGGGGAATGTTTGGTGGAAAAGAGCCTTCTAGAATCCAGATGACTGCAGGTTGATTGGGACTGAGGAGAAGCAGCCAATGGAAAGGAGAGATTGAAGCGGGAAAGAACTGATGGTGTTCAGTCACAGAGCAGATTGGAGCCAGAGGGCGGGCCTGGGAAAGATAAGGGCAGCTCTTTCTCCGTGTCTGAAGAAAAGGAGGCAAAAATAAAATTAAGCTGGAAAATCAAAGAAAAGGGATATTATAGAAGATTATACTTGGTGCTTTCTGTTTATTAGATAATGTTCAAAGTCACTGCTGAGAAGGTGGTCTAGATTTGAACAGTATGATCACCTAGGAAGAACCAATGTAGAGAAGGACTGCCAAACAGCTCTGAGGCTAAGGCACCAGTTGAGGCTGGGGCTACACGTTAAGTGGCAGTGCCAGTCAGCAGGCTGGGATGCCATCCGCAGGAGCTGTGGGTGACCCTCCCTATGGGAGTGACTGCTGCATGTGACAAAAGGCTAAGGCTGTGAGTGTGCTTTATCGTCAGGCATTTCGAATGCAAGCGAAAGAACCTGACTGGCTGACTTATGCAACAGGGGGTTTTAGTATAAGGATTTGGGGGGCTCACACAATTAGGTGCCCAGAGAATCAAGCTTATGAACGGATAGGAGCCAGATCAGCCCCTGAAGTCTGTGGAGGAGGCACCCCTGGCAGACTTGTAAAGGCACTGATGCTAGGCTCAATGTTGTTTTCTCTGTCTCTCTGTCACCATTCTTAGGATTCAGTGTCTTGCAAGAGAAAGTCAGATTGGCCTGGTTTAGTTTAAGGTCCTAGTTACTACTGTGGGCAGAACTGAGCTCCTTGATTGACAGACTGTTCAAGTCCATCAGGGAGCCTTTGCTGCAGTGAGCAGGTGTGGGGGCTGGGCAGTCCACATGGAACTATTATCCACTCCTGGGTTTGAGGGTGCAGGGAACTGTATAATGGAAATGAATTTCAGAATGAAGTACCTGACTAGCAAAATCCTGGGAGGTTCAAGTAAGTGGCCACAGTTGATGAGTTCAAAGGCACATACATAGGTGAATAGCTGAATAGGTGAATAGGACCTGACTTAAAATAACATTTGCAAAGCTGTGCCATGTGTTGTGATATAGTGGGATATGCCATTGAGGAGACAGGTTGGTTTAAGACAAACTCTCTTCTCTGAAGGGACCCATAGTGTAACGGGGAGATAAGGGCAGACTTGAGAAGGAAGTAAATGACAAAAGACAGCTTATGATTCATGTCAAATGAGAGAGAGAAAATAACTTTTTTACTTCCTTCCAGGTAATCCCCAGAGCTTCTCTGAATTAAAAGGAGACAACTCTAACATGTATTTCTAATTCTTTAAAAGGCATTAAAAAGGGCTAAAGTTATTTGCAATCTAATTTGCTTAGGATTTTCCTGGGTTTCTTGGTTTATAAATGTGAAATGTAAACCCCCTCCTGCAAAATAATTAGAAGCTAAATGAGAAATTAGAATCTGAAAGAAGATAGCAAAGCTACAAAATAGAATGAAAATAAATTGAAAATCAAGCCTGGAGGGATTTTTGGCTATTCCGTGCCATGTATTAAATGGCAGAACAGTTACACTGAGACCCTCATTGGCTCCTAAAGCAAGGGAGTTGGTCCAACAAGAAAAAGCCACAGAGAAGTGCGTGCATGCGTGACCTGAGCAGGCTTGTAGCGTCTGCAGTTCAGACTTGGCCCTGGCTGAAAAGCACACAGAGAAAGCGGGAGCACACGCTCCGCTCTGGTCACCTCAGGTGTCAGGAGCTGACGTTAAGCCAACTGCCTGCTGTAGACCCAAGTTACCCTCTTACTAACCTGAGATAGGGTTTTTCTTGGGCAAATAGGCCAGGCAAATGGATAGAACACGAGCAAATGAAACTGTGAAGGGCAGCCCTTTCCTTCTTAGCGAAGGACTAAAGTCTCAAGGCTGGCGAAAGGTCACGTGATGTTAGAAGTGGGCGGCACCCTGTTGATCTAAGCCATCATCATCAAATAACCAAACTTTTTTCAGGGGTATAATTAAAGGCAAACCGGGAGAGAACCAGTCCCCAACTCTTAGAAGTCCATGTGCCTTCTAGAAACTAGTTAGCGGAAGTCACGTGAAGCTGGCACCTAATTCCTTTGGGCTTCATTTCTTGCCAGATTCTTCCCCAGATCTCAGCCCTCCATCCCCAAATCACCAAAAGTCCTGGAAGCCAAATTCAAAGCTCAGGAGCCAGATCAGTAACGAGAGCCCCCCCATTCCTTGGCTCCTGGAAATGCAGCCATTCATGAAGCTGAGGTGAATCATCAAATCCCCATTTCCAAATCTCCAGGCACCAAGTCTCCCCACCAGGATGCCACGCAGCAGCCTTCCCAGAGCTCTCCTGGGCCCCCAGAAAACCTGGAGATGAAGTAGACCATGGGGAACTCCCAGTTGGCCCCCATTTCCTAACAACAAACAGGTCATTCACACTATGAGTACATTCACTTAGCATAATCCGCTTTTAGTTAAAC